GTCGCGTTCAAAGACGACTTCACAGTGTTATCGTCGGACGGCGTGTCCTATATGACTGAGAAGTATCAGTACCATTTTCAGCGTTATCGACTCTCAATATGTTAGCGAAATGAACAATCTAGTAGTCTGGACGAGTTATACGTATTGGAGAAAACATGCATAACCTCTCATGACATGCCAGTGTGGAGTACTCACTCCATACTACTTATGTTAGCAGATATCCAATTTCTTGGGATGCGCAATATTTCCTTCTTCCATTCAGAATAGCAGTAGCTTGTTGAATGCGACATGACCCTGGCAGTGGTATCGTGATAATCTGGAGGAGCACCATCCATAAAAGCTGTTAAAGCTACCCGGCAGGTTGAAGTTCCAGTGGTCCTATATCTATGAAAATGCTGCGACGTGTTGCTCATGCTTTGTTTGAACGATCGCTGTCGTCTCACTTGCAGGGCACATCATTAGTTGGGGATTTTGGTCAAGTCAGTACGACCTTACCCTTTTTTTAGGAGACTGCAACGACTCCCCCCCCCAGGGTTTCCTCCTCATCGAGCTGTCGAGCGGGATGGGAAATACTACCCCGCCCTCCTCTACAATTTCTTCCATTTCTTTCTTATCATCAGATTTCCTTCAACCCCAACCTCTCACAACTTTTTCTTTCCCGGAGATCTTTCAACTTCCCACAACTTTTTCTAGGACTTCCCGGAAATCTTTCTACTTTTGCCCAAAAATGTCGAGGGGGGGGGGCAAAAAAATTTTGTCAGCCCAAATACGCTCCCCTCTCCCAGCAATCAAATACTGGTGGGGAATCCCAACAACGATGTGTCCTGCTCGATCGTCTTCATATAACCTTCGCGCTCTCTGTCTCATCCCGGTTTCTCCGGTACAGAGAGTCTTTACTCGAATGCTCGTCTAGTCATGGGGACCTCAACAGGAAGCTGCCTCTCACCTTTTAAACCCTGTTCCTGCCTCAGTGAGTCAACAAAAATCCACGAATTAATGTTTTGACTCGAGCTGTAATCGCAGAATGTGTCTTGAAGGGTCGTTTTACCTGAGGATGAACCGAAGAGGAACTCTAAGTGCGGACTGTGGGTCACTCTACAACTACATAATCCACGTCGAAGTGTACTGTGCACCTCAGTTTTTTCCCCCTTCACTGCTTTTCGCAACAAAAAGTCTTGCTCATTTAATTTTTCATTTTATACCATAATTCTTTTTATTTTCGTTCTTTTCCAGTTTTGAGAAAAAACGCAAAATCTTTTGATTTTTCAGGAGTTATATTCTTTTGCAATCAGACTCTAGAATAATGGATGCTAATTAGAACCAATAGGACTTTATGGACTGATGATCTTACAGAATGTCTGTCAGTTGGCATGCAGAGCATACTCGAATTTGTAAAGGCCGGAGCCTGGGAAGGCGAATTCCCCTCTTCCTTCTCGTGTTATTTTCCCTAGTTTCTGTTATCATATGCGTTTATGGAACCTTACGTGGAATTCGTCCTAAGGGCTCAACAAATCTCAACATTTTCCGCAGTAGGTAAGTTTTTTTGCTTTCTCCGATCATCGTAAATATTATGCGAATGCTCGTTAAGGATGAAAGAAATGGGAATGAAAATGAAAATGGGGTTGAAACAGGAGCAGAATAAGTCAGCACCATTTTCTCAGATTTTATTCAACTCCTACCAGTTTTTCCGGAATTTTCCGGAAATTTCCCTTGTTTTCCCTGAAATATTGCCGAGGGGGAAAGGAGGTATATGGTGCACATGAAACAGGAAAAATCACGAAAAGTCAACAACCTCTTCCAGAGGGTCGGAAGGGAAATACGACCCTCCCCTCCCAACGAAGAGCAAACACGACCCCTCCCCTCTACGACGTCCCTGAAACAGTCCAAATACGACCTTCTGATCGGGATTCCCTAACAACGATGTGCCCTGGGTCATGGTAGAACTTCATAGTGCCGCTGATGGATAACGGTATATCAAAGACGATCTTACTCTGCTATAAAAAGCATTAAAGATGCAAATGTGGTATTTACTTATAATAGGCTAGAATTCCTTGAAGAAGGCTCGATCTCGTCAGTTTTCAAGGCGACTCACACTCATATGTAGTGAAATGCACCCGTTCAGAAAATTATTTGTTTTCGTCAGGGAGGCCAAACCCTTTGTTCCGAGGCACAGTCTGAGCAGAGAGCTAAATAACGCTGATGTCGATAAATGGGTTCCACAATCTGGTCACAGCATCAAACAACCATATTATGAAAGTTTTATGTATTCCATGTATTTAATATTTTATGTGTTTACATTTTATTTTATATATTTTTATATTTTTTTGTTTCATTGAGAAAGAGGCGGTGGTATTAAACGGCGCCAGTGCCGAAAACACGTCATATTTGATCGGGATGTAAAATCACCCTTAGGGGTATCATTTTTTGAGAAAGGTGGTGGCGCAAAATGGTGGCAGTGCCAGAAATGAATGTCGTATTCGTGAACAAGGCACTGAGTTACCTGAATAGGATTTTCAGCACAAGAAATCTCGAGTCCTCGAGGTACTAGTGGTTCTGCAGGACCCTTTGGCCTTCTCCTGCAGGTTGTAGATCGCTTAGCATCAGCTGGAAAAGCCCTGCCAGAAATCAACTGCTCCTTGTAGGTTTGGTCGGGAAAGCTGGTGATGACCTCGGAAGTGGCGTATCAGATATTTCCAGCAGGAGTGTGCACGGGTGCACCCGCCGGACAGGGCTAAAAAATCTAGTGCAAGTTTGCGGATCATTCTCCACCATAGTACTACTACATGGCACATCAAACTTGTTTCTAGTGTGATCTCATCATAAACTTTCGAGGTTCCTCCAAATCGATGCAACATTACTCAACCCCAAAAGGGAAATTAAAAAGCAACTGACCGATCTTCAGGTTCTATGAATTTATTCAGACTTGCCAAGTATCCGAAACGTCACAACATGAACGAATGTGCACCATACTTTGGAAAAGTCACCGTTTTCGTGGCTCATACTGGGAAGCTTAGACATGGGTACGTTCATTTTGGAGTTTTGGTCAAACTGATGGTGACGTGGATGAACAACTTTATCAAGTTTATCGAAATACCCTTGAATTGAAAAAACTCATAATAGTGAATTTTCAAGCAATTATTTAGATTTGACAATCAATATTGCTAATGGTAAAGTTAGTACTAAGTTGTATAATAAAACGGACGATTTTAGCTTCAATGTAATCAGATTTCCATATAGTGACACAAACATTTCCCTTATCAACAAAGCCTCTGTTATATATACGGAAACGTTGAGGTTAGCAAACACTTGTACGTTCTTCGATGTATTCGTAAGCAAAATAACGGATATGGTCACCACTCTCGTGTCGAAAAATGGCTACGAAGAAGATTTTATTATTACTAGCATTGTGAAATGTATTTACAAAAATAAATTTATAAGTTACAAATACTCTATTGCAAATAACTATAAAAAGATAAGAAGGCTGGTTAGAAGCGACCAGGATCGACCTTCTCTTAATCTTGGCATTGTTCGCTCTTTCGAACAGTGGAAGTTTGAGCCGTCCAAGATTTTTACAATTTATTGGCCAACGTTTCGGCTTCCTCGCCTTCGTCAGGGCCTGAAAGAGTCCAAAAACAATTGAGATTGTCCCTCGAACGCCTCCACAAGAACTTAAGACTATTTCGATATCCTAGCAGACCACCCTACGGTATAGATCGATAAGTGTGAGTTGGCTTACCTTGATCTCAGCCGCGATGACGTGAGATCGACCACCCAAGCTGCAGTACTACTAACAGTGAGTTTCCACCTCCACTCCGCGACCTCGGCCTCGACCTCATGTAGGTCAAAAACCGCATAGGTCGGCAAAGAGCGCGAGTTCACGGGTTATGGCTACACACTCCTCTTTCCTGTTCATTTGGGGGTCTTTTGCTGAAATCGAAGGGCTTCTCAAACGTTTTCCGTGGCAGCGGACTTCAGCGCCTCCCTGCCGAGGTAGTGCGGAGTGGAGGTGGAAACTCACTGTTAGTAGTACTGCAGCTTGGGTGGGGTTTGTAGCTGATTGTGGGTGATCTTTTTGTTATTTCACCAAATAGCCGTAGCCAGTCGTTGGCGGAAAGCAGCTTTCGGCTGCGACTTTTCATCAACTTTTTTTTTTATCACTGCCTTCCGAAGTTCTTTTGGTGTGGCTGTTCCGACAGTTCTCAGTTTTTCATTCAGGAAATTATTTGTGTCCGTTACTCCTTCCTTCAACTGCAATGATTTAGAATTTTCACTCGACGCTCGACCCGTAATTTTCTTCTTGCGCTTGCGACCACAAGATGCGAGATGGACCGTGGTCTCCTCCTTATTGCTCTTTCATAGCCTCGCCTCTTCCGCCTTCTGCCTTTCTCATTCTCTTCTGATTCATATCCGAAAAGGGATCCTTCGAAATCTGGACGGAATCTCACACGAACTGATCCACTTTCCACAGGCTAGCAGCAAAGTTTAGCTGAAGATTCGTTGGGGCGCTGGCAATTGTATGGGGAAAAGGTCTATGACACACATGGTGTCTTTGCAGGATTAACTATTGTCCACTGAAATAGAAGTTGTCAAATCGAAATCAAGGAAAAGTGCAAAAAGTGAAAAGTGCATATGGCACGCTCTGAATAGCCTGCATATTCAGATTGTACGATATTGCTCAGCGTAGTCTGGAATGCTACTTGAAAACGGTGAACTATACCGTACTTTTTGTTGACGTCGACAACGATCCACTGGTGAAAGAAGCGTGCAGTCTGCATAAATCGGTATCTTCAAGTAATATAGATTCAAGTTTTAGAGAGTTAAATAACTATGCGGCTAGAAATCAGTGTACTGCCTTGCCTGTTCCGTTTTTGTTTAGTTAAGGGAAATTTGACGTCTTTCACCCTTACAGTACAGGAAATATGGCAGTATTTGTGTAAAACGTGATAAATGCTTTGCATGCCTACAATCCAGGAGTACTATAGATATACTCGAAATCCCTGAGATCGGGTGAAAGTGGCCGCATGTTTCAACTTGAACCTGAAGGTGTCTATGCTTCTGGTGAGATATTTTCATCTTGACACAATTGTTGTCGTGTCTCTCCTCCACAGAACAAAGACAGTTGTCCCAGACTGGAATATTCCACGAGTAACCAGTTCCGTGCCATGTTCAAATGCCACGCCTACTCTGGCTCAGGGATAAGGAGTGTAGCTCGTCGATTCACGCCCTCATATTACATGCGTAGAAAGCAAAGTAGTTCTAAGTATCATTATGGCACCATAGCATTTTTATGTTTTGCATCAGAAGATAACAGTAGGCGATTATCTTCACAGAACGCAGGATCATGATTGCAGGATAATGATTGCTGGCTTCTATCTGAGCAGTACTTTGTTATATTTTAAGATTTTGCTGTGATTTCAGGTATTTTACAAGAAACATTGTGGGGTCATTCAGTACCTGCCGACGACAGATTGGATGCTCGTACTTGATGCTGATACAGGTATCGCATAGATTAGGAAGAGCTTTGCGACTGTAAGTGAACTATTTGTGTCGCGATAAGGGCTGCGCTCCACAATTGATTGTTGGAAGCGCTGAAACAGTTCAGACACTAACCTGAACATCAATAAGTGTGGTACTCAACTACTAGAGATGGATCAAACTCTGTCGCAATTCCTAGATCGCGCGGTCAAATCGCTTGAGTTGTGAGCATCATTCATTAGCGGTGCTTTGAGGATTTTGTGCAAAGAGTTTCTGGAAACCTTGAAAAGTTCAGCTCCAGCAAGGGATCTCAGGTGTTGTGAATCCGAACCACTGTGTTGAGGAATGGATTGATGACAGAGTTAGCGTGATATTGATCGAGCGTTTCTTCAATTGGGAGTTCTCCGCTGGCAACTACCTGGTATGTAAATTTTTAGCAACAGGCTGACTGCAATAGTTATGGTGATGCTTTTTCAAATTCAGTCAGATTCATGTCAGATTCCCATAGTCGTCATTACCTCCACTCCGCCGATGCTCTAAAATCCTGTTTTAGCAAGACTTATTTCAATAAAAGAATTCATTCATTTAATCATAATTCGCAGAAGATGGAAGGAGGAGAAGGAGGGAAGGGTGTAGTGAATACTGAAAATGGGGAACTACTGCTTTACACAGTATTAGGTTATCTCAAAGGTGCCGAGACATATGGAGGAGTGGCACAATAGTAAAAGGGATAGAGCAGCGAGCCCCTACAGCATTTAGAGGCCAGTACCGTTAGCTATGCATCTGGGTGAACCTACCCACAGAAGAAGTTCTCGAGAAATTGAAAAGAAGCCTGAGTGGTGAAAATCAGCGCCGGATTTTCAAATCAGGCGTCATAAGAGGAAAGTGCGCTGCTCAAATTTGACCTGCGCCAGACCAGTAGTTGTGTAATGGTGTTCTCGATATACAAGGTGGAAGGTTTGGTTCAGGAGCCCGAAGAAGGAAGAAAGGAAAAAATTTGTTGTCGTGGATGGTCCCATAATGTTCATCCTGCACAAGAAAGGGTGGATGAAGTCAAGCGCTGAATGTCTGATTCCAGAGCCTGGACCTTTGTCGAGCTTCCCCGCGAGACTGACATCCCTGCTGCAACTGCTGCCCGAGTTATGTCCGATAAACTGAGGATGGTCAAGAGGGTGTGCGCATGGGTACCTAATTTTCTTGTAGAAGCACGAACGCAGTACCGATTCTATGCCTCTAGCAGTAATGTTCTCAGCATGAGATGTCATTCACGACTGTGAAAACGCACCCCGGCTCTAGATGAAATATGAGTGGTCTTGGGTCTTGGGTGAGTCTCGAGCCGAAACTCACAATCGTCAATTTTGTATGAATGCAGATGAGAAGCCGCCCGAGTTCTACCATGAGGAGTTACGTGGGCGCAAGTGGATGATCATCATAGCAAAGGATTCCACACTGTGGCTTTCAAGCGGCTCTATACAGAGAATAAAATCGTCGCTGTCGGTGTATATTGTCTTTCCTTGGCAATCAGATCGACAAATGGATGATACCACACAACTACAAGAAGGCCACCGTTGCTCGTAGTGCCAGACCCCGAGTAACTGTATTGTAGGGCAGTGCTGGGACACAAACAATACTGAGACCTGGGTTCAATCGCCCCATTCGCCCGACATAAAGCCGTTCGATTCCAACTGTTCTGGTCAGTCGAGGTACTCTCCGACGGCAAACGCTACAATGTTTTGTCATTCGCCGAAATTGGCAGCAACAGCAATTTACTCGCACTTGTTGAAAAATCGAAGGTACCAGAGGTCCAAACGCTTTCGGGGCCCTGGGAGCGGGTCATTGGTGAAGGAGGGATCTACTTAACTCAAAGCCAAAATATTACTTTTCTATCTGTTTTTCTCTTCGTTTTATATGAATAAGATCTTCGGCACTTTTGAATGGGATGACCTAATATTTTTGATAGACTGTGAAAACTAAAACTCTGATAGGACATTTTTACTGAAAGAGTAGCTCCCTACATCATGCCGTGATGAACCTCATTGCCCATGAGCAAAAAATTAAGGGAGTGTAGGGGCCGAAGCGTGGAAGTGGAGCTAAGGGAATGTGAGGTGCAAGAGTGGAAGGACTGCTGGGAATCGCGACCATGTTTTGGGTTACCCCATTAGTGATGGCGTTTCCCTGACAAAAAATGCTGTGTCAGATGGAGTCAGTTCAGCGATGCACTAATTTCTTAGTTACCCCATCCTACAATACATCAGCGGGATCGCGATCGATGATACTAATATCAGACTAGAAGATAGCTCCACTTTCTGTCAAATTTTCAGCGTCTCTTTCGAGGACTTTGAAAATTGAGTTTCCAGTAAAGTGAAGTATTACCAGCTGACGCGCCCGCGTCATAACTCTGCCCCAACCCCATCAATTGGGAAGTTTAGCCAAATACTCAATATTTCCTGATCATTTTGGTAAATATTGTGGTAGGGTTTTACCAGGCTTCAGAAAAAATAACTGCCTTGCTGGTCACTTCTTTCCACTTCCGATCTTTGATCGGCTATGTCATGGCTTCGAGAAGGGCGTCTGCTTCTATGACCAAAGAGTTTGTAGGCCTTGTGCTGTGGTTCCATCGAATAAAGGTGATCAATTGTTTGAAACTGCCATTTCAACAATTCAGTTTCACAGAAATTGAATTCAGTAACAACGAAATTGGTGAATCACTGCTGAAATAACGGGAGTACTACAACCATTGTAGAAAAAACGGTTGGCTCATTAGTTCCTATTCTGGGCTTCAAACAATTTTCCGTTTCTACTCGTTAAAAAGTTAGTCTTCGTGCCGACAGCAGTTGACCCGCCATCGATCACCCCTGTCCACTGCCTTTGCTGCAGTCCCTCCGAAAATGAGCAGTAGTGTGCGCAGTACACTGACCAGTGCCTAAAAGTGCTGCAGTAAAGTATAGTGTTTTATCGGAAACCCATGTTTATTTATGACTGTCACTATTTATTTACTTATTTTCTATACTTATAGATCGCGAACCACTTAGTTACTGTATCTTTGCTCGAACTGTGTCCCGTGTCTAAAAGCACTTCACAGCAACAGTCCATCGAAATATTCAACAGAACACACGGGAGTAAACGCTGGCAATAACTCAAAATGACACCATTCGACCGTTCGAATCGAAGGCAGCCACGCTAACATGTCCCCCATCAGTGTCGCGACCTGGGTGCAGTGTCATCAGGGCAGTTGATTAGGCGGTGAAAGGGTCGCAGACGCGGCTGCGGCGCGTCACGACCGCGGCGATCAGCTGTTTCCAGCCTATTTAGCCATTTTCTCCCTAATTTTCACTGTTTTTAGCTGCTTTTTTCAAGGTTAGTTGTTCCTTGTCTTCAGGCGAAGTATGATTGGGATTCCTCCAATTTTTGTGAACAATTAAATAATTAAATAAATAATTGAATGAATGTCTAAAAAATCTCAAAAACACCTAATCACAAAAACAATAAAAGAATCCACTCCCTGATGTACCTCGTAAGAACAAAAAACAACTTACCTCGAAGAAAATAAATAATACAGTGCAAATTAGGCAGGAAATGGCTGAATAGGCTAGTAACAGTTGATCACCGCGGTCGTGATGCGCTGCAGCTGCGATCCTCCAATCAACTGCCCGGATGACGAAGTAGTATACTGTCTACCGAGGATTAGATGCCAGTAATGAGCGAAGCTGCAGTTGCGAGTTGGTGTCGCACTACCCTCACCTTCTTGTACTTGTACTACCCTTCTTGTACTTGTACTACCCTCACCATGAAGCAGTGAAGTTGGAAACTCACGTCGAATAGGTTTATTGTAAATGAACCCAGACCTAAAAGACATGTTTGTCTTAATGAAACAAGGGATCCAATAGCTGGCTCAGAGAGCTATGCGACTCATAGTTGGCCATCACTAATTCCACCCTCCGCTTAGCGAAAAATGGCCTGAGGATTCTCGTCTTCGGAAAGCACAGAAGCTCCATGGAAGTCCACCGGGATAAGGAGCGCTCCAATCTCCAAAGCCCCAGCGGATTAATTACAAGAACAAGAACAGGAACAAGAGCAAGATCAAGAGTAAAGAGAATTAAAAGATAAAGAAGAACACCAGGAAGAAAAAGATAATGGTGGAGAAGGAAAAGCAGAAGAAAAAGAAGGAATAGAAGAGGAGGAAGCAGACGAAGGCAAATCCTCGTTAAAAGTGTTTGAGTCACAAGCCGTTATGTCAATCAAAACCTGTCTGTAACCACTATGCTTTCATATAAAAAAATTGGTTTTCCATTCGTTATTGACTTGCCCTTATTTGGGTGCAAACGCCTACTCCACAATGCTTAACATCATTACATTATTGCAAGCGAGCACCTCCATTTCTCTTCGTTCGCACAAGCGCCTCCCCACAAGTCTGCACTGCCACTCCGAAAGCTTTTTAAAGCCTCTTGAAAACCTTATATCTGTGATAAAAAGATCCGGAACCATACTTTTGTTATAAATTCAGGTGAGGAATTCACCGTTTGCTTACCAGTTTCTCCGTGCATGGACAGACTACGACTTCAGGCAAAATGATGACCAACCATTCAATAGTTTTGACCAGGGTGGACTGATGGTAAATTTTGTCAACTTCTTTACAGCTACTGTGATATTTTCTCCAACCTCTTATGACCGAATTCCACGACATCGTCCTCCTTCATCACCTTTATCCTAGTTATGGATGTTACTTCATTGCCTTCAGTTTCTTTCGGAAATAGTGGCCGACCGGGTGGAAAAGGTTACGATACCCCAGTCTTATTGTCATCCCTCAAGCTGATGATAACCACTTGATGCCCACATAAGTGCATATGAGCGATCTTCCCAGGTGCACAAATTACTAGTCCCTACCAGGATGCAGCGTCGTTTTCTCGCATTGAAGCAGACTATTTTTTGCTTGTAGTGGGATTTCCTTGAAAGATGAGTGTACTTTTCCCAGAAGCGGGCTACTGGCGAAAGGGTGCACCTTTATGAGAAACTAAGCACTAAGCTCACAGTTTTGCTAACTTACTTACTCTTCTCAGAAATTTTCGCAGTCTAGAAAAAACTGCTTTTTCAAAATGAATGACTTTTTCCTGGGAATCCCCTGTGCAAGGGATATTTTAGATGGAAAAAGTTCCGATGCCCTCAATAGCCCGATCCTCTATCTCTTATTGCACAGAACTCATTGGAAAACTATAGTATGCCTCTGAGAAGCATAGTCTCGGGGAACTGTATGAAAAAATTTTTTTTCCTGTCTGACATAGATCCCGTCTGAGCGTGGGCCATACATTGCGTTACCACGCACAGTAGGTGGGAAGATGCACCTGTTCTCATAAGAATTGAGAAGGTTGACAGCCTCCTACCTGCGAACCTGCACACGTCGTATTGTTTAGTCAATATAGGTGCTCACGGAGTCATGTCACCAATTACTAA